GAAACACATTAGACTTACCGACTATTAATTCAAAAACGGCTGATCCTTTCAACCCCCCTCTTATTTCCATCGCGGTCCTTTCTTTTTGTCCCCACTAAGTTAAATTGGGACAGAAGTCCAACGGTAAACAGTCTAAAATTATAATAAATGAGTATGCTAAAGAAAAATATTATTATCAAAATGAATGTACAACGATGTATTATATTATGTAGTACTTAAAGCAAAGTAAGCATTTGCACCTCTCAGATTTGCTATGAAAGACAAGTTATTAAAAACAGATGTTGATATTTTTCTTGTCTTCTATGACGTAACTTTTTTATTTAATTTCATTTAAATTAAGTGTTGTAGACCCATAACAATTTAAAAATCCGTTATTGACTAAGGACTATCAAAAACGAAAAGATAATTCAGCTAATACACCTTAAGAGTTGTTATTTATTCAAACTAGATAAACCTATTGTTCAAAGCTCAATTTTAGTCTCAAATATAATGATGCTTTACCTAACAACATAAAATTATAAAAACAGGCGATATCATTATCAACACAGATGAATCACACATGAACAAAAATAAAGACTAGAAAGCTGCAATGTTGTTTAGCTAAAAGAAAGTGTACCTTTCCAGTATCATTTTTACTTGGTCTTTCGCATCCAAACCACGGACTTGACGTAAAGATTTTCTCTGAAAAATAACACAATAATAAATACTATAGCAACGATGTTTAAAAACAGCTTTCTGGTTATAGTGAGGTTCTCTCACCTTACTTATGGATTTTATTACTAAAATCACAAGATATTGGAAAATGCATAACTTTTCAATCTTGTTTGAATATCAAAAACTAGGCAAAAAAAAATATAACAAATACCATGATTGAACGTTTCTGTTCGTCTAACAACTCTCTTTCAAAGGCATTAAAATCTTCCATCGTTGCCATCATTTTTATTGCATGGTTATCCTTTTCTTCTGTTGGCCAACGACAATTTACAACGTTTTCTTTTTCTGGTACTCTAAAACCGAATAAGATAAAAAATCTTGTGCAATTAAAAATTCTTGTAGAAGCCTTGATTTATTTTTTTAAATTCCATAGTGCTCCTTTCTAGCATTTAAAATAAGAAACCTATTCAACACATTTTACACAGGAATAATTTTTGAAAGGATTTTCATTTTCAAAGTTCAACTAAATAAGAATTCCATTGAATTTCTGTGAATAGAAAAAAAAGAGTCAAAAAATAAATATCAAATCTAAAAAACTAGACCTTAAAATAACCTTACCAGCACCGCTTAGTGGAAACCGTAGCTTCTCAATGGGATCTAAATATGATTATATGTAGATATAAATTATCACTGAAAAAAGTATAGCTATTCTTACGAAAGTATAATTATTGATGTAACTAAAATAAAAAATACAATGTATATAAAATATATTTATATATATTTAAAAAAATGTAAAAAAGGATACCTTTTTTTGAAGTCGGTTCAATTGGAAATTCTGTTTCAGAGAAAAATAATAGTAAAATATGACATGAATGATAGTCAAGAATATTAGCAGAAGATCGGTCAAAACATTATACTCAGAAATAATTATTTTTATTAACAAACAAAAAAAGTTTTAATCATCTTAAAACGGTTAAATTAAACGATCACAAATTATAAAACTATCTAGTTAATCATAATTTATCTATATATCATCTAGATAAAAAGTCTAGAGTTATAGAATATCTAGTCTTCAAAGTTTCATTTGTAGCTAGTTCACCTAACAAATTAAAGCCTCTTCCATAAATTCATGGTTTTTCATAAACTGAAACTTTGAAGACCAGATATTTTTTACAAAAATTGTAATTCACTTTCTTAAATCAACCCTTGTATTGTATTAAGGTCAATCAGTTAATAATATAAAGTTGACTAAAGTAAGAAGTTTTTGAATAACAATAAATATAAAAAAAAACATGATGAGCCTAGTTTACAGCAAACAAATCACATTGCAAATGGTTTCAAAGAAACATGGGATTTAATAAGACTAACCGCCAGACATGTAAGCCAATGATTCTTTTGCTGATGGTATAGTACTTTCATATTCAGATTCTAAATACAACATTTATACATAATTAAATTGCACCCATTATAAAAAAGAAGCATCAGACAATACAAATTTTTTAATTGCATTTTGGAGATACAACCTTTTTCTAAAAGAGTTGCGATTAAAGATTAATCATTGCATTAAAGATTAAATGTTTCTGAGCTTACTACTAAGCTGGTCTGATGCTGCAAGGCTCAATTGCGGTCTTTTACAAGAAGATGATGATTCACAACCTTGAACAAAAGCAAAAATTTTGAATCAAAAAAAAACATTTTCACTGTGTTGAGTAAATCAACAAATTAGATAAAATCAACCAAATTTGATAATTGGTATGATTATATAATTGATAGATATGATTAGATAATTTTGTCTTGCATAACAAAATTTGACTTACTAATAGTAGAATGTGGACAAGCATAATCTTGAGCTGTTGCTCTGGATCCATGTTGGCTGTGTTTTCTCTGAATTTAGTTTTTTAAAATTTCATTTAAAGTAATTGATAACATTACTGTAAAAAGTCTTTGTTTTACCACGTTTATATTGTGAGACTTTGCAAGAGAAATATGCATCTATTAGTTATTTATATCAATAAATTGATTAAAAAATAAACGCACCTTTATCTGAAACAAAAGATGAAGAAAAGTCAACTTTTTCTGAAAACAATTTTGGTGGGACTGGCAAACTAGAGCACAGTTGTCATTATGTACATTTTTTACTTGCTTTGTTAATGACAGACAACAGTTAACAAGGAAATAACAACTTTAACATAAAAGATAAAGAGCGAATCTTTTGACACAATTTCATCATTTAACTAAATACAAACAACAAAATTATTCAGATTATTTAAAAACATTTGAAAAAATAGCTTACTTAATGCCTCTTCTTTTCTATTGTCCGTTTTGCTGGCACTTGAACACGTATATATAGATAGAAATTGTTCACATGTTTCTTTTTCGTCTGAAAATAAATATTTTAAATTAATATGTAATAAACAACGTTCTTGAAGAACAACACATTAAAAAATTAGATGACATACCAAATGTGTTAATCCTTATGTGTTAATCCTATAATATAGGATCCTTAATCCTATAATATAGGATAGGAATCCTATATTATAGAATTTAATTTCAGAATCAATAATTTTTTGAGGAAAATTATTTTTTTGTAAAACTAATGATAGATTTATAATATCTTTATCAAAACCAAAAGACTTCTATTTTTTTAATATTTTTTTCAGAGTTTTTTTTATTGTAAAACAATCTTTTGAAAATGTAAATAAAATTTACAAAAAATATCAAGAATAGAAAACATCGTGTAATTTTTAAAAGTAATATATAAATATATATATATATATATATATATATATATATATATATACATAATATATATATATATTATATATATATATATATATAATATATATATATATATATATATATATATACATATATATATATATATATATATATATATACATATATATATATATATATATATATATATATGTATATATATGTATATATATGTATATATATATATATATATATATATATATATATATATATATATATATATACATATATATATATATATATATATATATATAAATATATATATATATATATATATATATATATATATATATATATATATATATATATATATATATATATATATGTATATGCATATATATATATATATATATATATATATATATATATATATATATATATATATATATATGTATATATATATATATATATATATATATATATATATATATATATATATATATATATATATATATATAGGTACCTGCATAAAAAATTTAAACTTTTATTTTTTAAACCAAATTAATTCTATTATATAGAGATTATTAAATGACAAATTTTTATACAAAATTTATTATCTGGGGTCAACTATAAAAAAAGATATTCAATTTTGAAGGTATAGAAAAAAAAATGGACATCTTTACAGAAAATGACTTCAAAAAGTGGACTTTATAATATAGTTCATAAAATATTCACAATTTAACGTCACATATATGATAAAAACTGTTTATTATATCCCACTTATATTAACTAAATCATAAAAAAAAAAAAAAAGGGAATGGGGGTGTTTAAGCCCAAATTAAAAGTGGGTCAAAATCGATTCAAGGCATTTTATTAAAAAAATTACTATAATTAATCAAAATTTAAGTTTGTTCATGCTTAAATCTAATGAGAATGTGAAAAAAATTTGTATAAAAAATTGAAGTGATTGGAGCCTGGGAACAAAAATACCCCAAAAAGTTTGTACCCTTACATAAAAATGTGAGGGGACTAAGTTATTGAAATATTTTAATTTATTATTTTATACTACATTTAATCCATCAACAGACCCAATAATTCTTGATATTTTCAAAGTTATTTTTGGAGTTATTTCACGAGGTCATAAACTTTGAGCATTAAAAAATGTGAATTTAAGTTTAGTTTTTGATAATGAACTTAAAAACTTATTAACTCATTAAATTAATATTTGAGACAGGGGGGTTTATCTTTTTTAGATAGTTTTGTTCCTAAGTTTTAATTACCACAAATATTAGCAAACCATTCTTATTTGACATATGATTGAACAAACTTATACTTAGAGTTTTCACAATGCCAAGTACAGAATCTGAAATGTAAAATAACCCTGTGTCTGATCTTGGTTATTATAAAAAAATTTTAAAATAAAAAGGAATAAATAAAAATGTATACAAAATAATCAGCATAATCAAAATAAAAGATAATAATGCCTAATATATTATATTAATTTTTAAATGAATTGCAGGTCTTTAAGTATTAGATCTGCTATATTTCCTTCCTGGCTTATGTCAATATCTTCAGCTTCATCTTCATTGACTTTCCAATATCCTATTGTGTATGTAATAGATTTTTTTTTGTTGTTGCTACCTTTTGATCAACAATTCTACCAAAAAATAAATGTATATTGCCATCATCTAGCTCCCATTTATGGCTTAAGAGCTGCCCTATCAAGTTTCCATTTTTTTAAATTGCTCCTAAAATTTGTTTTTGTTTTTCATCAATATTAACAAAAAGAGGATTTGTGGTTTTGGCATTTTCAGGAATTGCTTTTTTAATATTCTTCTCTAGTTGCTTTCTTTCCAGACGTACTTTTTTTAAATTAGCTTTGGTGCATCTTTTTCCTATTTCTTCATACAAAAGATTATTAAAATTTTTAGAGGCTTGACACGTTAAAGCTCCTCTGCGAATTGCAAATTGAATAAGGTCTTCTTGTTCTTGCAATGTTTTCTCATCAAGCCATGTTAATGTTTTGTTTACCCTGGCTTTTATTTTAGAATCCAGAAAACCAAAAGTAGCATTAGGAGCACGACGCAAAAAAAAATCACGCATGCACAATATCCTTTCAGCCTCATTTGTATGAGGTGGAGCAGATAGTGTGGTTTTTATCATTTCTTTAGATGGATTTGAGAGATTGCCAGTCAAATACCTGGCCATCTGTCTTTTGAGAACTGTCTCTGTGTAGCTTATCAAAGCTGATATTATCTTTATTTTAAAAATTTAAATAATGAAAGATATACATATAAAAGATTACCTTAGCTTAGAAATATTTTTTAGGACTGTTACTGCAACCCCATCAGTTCCTTTAGCCGGTTTTATCTTCAACTCATTATCTAATGTTTTAAGAACTAATAATGCTTTTATGGCAATAGTTTCCAATGGATGAACATTGCAGTGCAGTTGCATTAATTGAATGTCCATCTCCTCCTGAAGCATATTTTTCACACAACTATTAACAGGTGCTCTGTCTGACAGACAACTTTTTATTTTTTGAGTGAATACGTCTAAAACTTCTACTGCTGGCATATTTTTAAACTCTGCAAATGTATTGGCAAGTTCTCTTATTACACTGACAATATGAGTGGCACGGTCAAATCCTGTACCTCTAGCAAGTTTAGCGGTTGATAAGGAATAACATCTTTGCAGAGGATAGGTACTGATAAGAAACTCATTTACATGTTTGTCTAAAGCGCTGGTTGCATCAAACACTACTGTTGCACATTCACAATGAAAAAGTGCCTCACCAGCCTGAACCAATGCTAAAACACCTGGCTCATATGCCATTCGATTTACTGTGATGAGGTGTTTCTTGCAGTTCTGTATTGTGTAACAGTTGATAAATTTTTTCTAACAAAAATGAGACACTTTCCACAGGCACATTGTTAATAATAGCAGCATAAACACATTTTCTTATGGGTAGGTCATATGTTTTTCATTTTTTGGTTTCTTTAAGTAACCTATTATTATTTTTTTTTTTAAAACAATACTAGTTAAATAATGATTTTGTTCTACAAGTTGTTTATTTTCTTGCTCTTTAATTTTTATCTGTTCCTGTAATTCTTTAATAACAGTTTTGTGTTTCCTTCCTATCTTTTTAAAATTTTGTTGCAACTTCATTCTACTAATTTTAAGAATTCTTAATTCATTTATGAAATCTAGAGAATGAAACTTATTCTGCTGAATTTTTTGTTGTTGAATATTTCAATTTCCATAAATTTATTGAAAAATACTGTCTTTTAAATTTTTTGTTTGTAAGCTTGTTACGGGTCATTGATTTTTTCAAAAAACGAACTCTCTGCTGCAATTTTCTGTTTTTTTTTCTTGTAAACAATGTATTTCATCTTTTTTTGTTTTGCATGAACCACACTTGATTCTCTGCATTGTGTCTGAGACAATAATTAAATCACTTGCAACGTTTAAAAGAATATTTGTATTAGAACTATTTCTTTTTCTTTCATATTTAAATGGTTGCTGCAAAAAATTAACAATAGCAGCCTATCACTGGGTAGGGTTTTTTTAAAGATTTTTATCTTTTTATGCAAGTATCTTATATTGTTGAAGAATATTTTAAAATCAGATGCATTTTGAGGTCCAATGTTCAGTTTTTATAATTTCAGACAAGTTTTTGATAATTTGAAATTATTTTCAGAAAAAATGTTGTAAATGTCACCATTTAACAAAGGCTTCGATTGGCATTTGGATGAATTAATTTAAACGCAAATATCTTTTGCAGTCTTGTTGTCCATCTAAAGTAAAGAAAAATAAAAAGCAACAATGACAATAATTAAAAAAATGGCGCTATAAACAATAAATTATTTGGCGGTAGCAACTGTATGCATCTTTTTTAAACATGAAGGAGATTTTAAAGTATCGGTTATTATATATCAAATGAAAGATCGATAAATAATTTATTTGAGCATGTCAAAATCATTTATGAGCATTTATAATGGAATATTAAATTCTTTATAGGAAAATTACCTATTTTGGCAGGATTCATTAACAGGGAAAAATCGCAATTTTTTCAAAATTGTATAACTATAAACAAGTTTAACCTTCACTTTAAACGAAAAAATATAATAAAAATTGACAGTTTATTTTTTTGCTAGCTTTTAAACACTCTTTCCTTTATGCATATAGCGTAGTTTTAAAAAAACACGGAAATCCAGAAACTTTATAAAAGCGATCTTAAAATAAAAAAACGGACGCGTACGAGAATACCTATAAATACATATATATATATATATATATAATATATATATATATATATATATATATTTATATATATATATATATATATATATATATATATATATATATATATATATATATATATATATATATATATATACAAGGCTGGCGCGAAAGGGGTGTGTGGGGGGTGTGACAACCCCTCATCAATGATTTTTAGTCGGCAAACTGGACCCTTAGTCGGCAAATCGGACCTTTTTAGGCTAGTTAGCCGGCAAATGTCGACCCTTTCGATATAGGTTAGACAGTCGGCAAATGTCGTAATGGCAGTCGGCAAATTTTGGAAAACAAGGACCTTTTTTTTTTTTTTTTTTAAGTCGGCAAAAGTTGTAATGGCACCCCCCCACGTGACACCTACTCGCGCCGGCCCTGTATATATATATATATATATATATATATATATATATATATATATATATTTATATATATATATATATATATATATATATATATATATATATATATATATATATATATATAAACATTTTGTTATGTATATGTTATATAATATATTATTTTATTACTTAAATTATAAAATAAAGTCTCTTACCGAAAATAGTACCAACATAATACAACGAAATACAACGAAATATAAACATAATACAACATAATACAACGAAAATAGTAGCAACATGAATAAAGTTGTTTTAAAGTTTTTTATGTACAAAACACGGGTCAATCAGAACATAGATGAGGTACGGATTATAGCCCATAATGTTGTAACATAGTCATAAGAATGAATACTTTTTATGACTATGGTTGTAAATACGATATTTATGGGTTAAATTTTAACCCACCATAAATTTTATGATTTATAAAAAAATTATGGGTTAAATTTTAACTCATTTAAACATCGTAAGGGGCCATCCTTAAAGGACGTCACCATTTTTTAGCCAATTTTCGAACGCCCTTCCCCCTTCCTTTGTCACCGGTTGTCCTTTTCCCTATACCCCCCTTGAATAGGACGTCATAAAATCCTGAACCCCCCCTCCTTATTTTATACTCCAAAAAAATTTGTTTCATCTCGCAATGATGTTTGAATCTGCTGCTACGACTTTGAAAAATAAAATTAAAAATATTCTCATACATTATCTTCTTAAAAATACAAGTTTGCGTAGTTTTCCATGTTAATTAAACTAAAATAAAAAATCTATAAACTGACGTCCTTTTCTGACAAACTCCCCCCCTCCCCTTGTCCTTTTTTGTCCTTTTTAACTCGACCCCCTGCCCCCCTATTTGGATGACGTCCTTTATGGATGGCCCCTAATTACGATGTTATGGGCTAAAATCCATAATATCGTAATTACGATAATATGGTCTAAAACCCATAATATCGTGTATACGATATTATGGGTTAGCTACGTTCTAATTGGCAGTTAGCTAATTATAATTTTTATTATAATTATGATAAACAAATTATAATTATAAGAAACAAATTATAATTATACGAATCAATTATAACTTGCTTAACAACTTAAGTTGGTCCTAAGCAAAGCAGTCGTACGATAATATCGTAATTATGATATTATGGGTTATAACCCATATTTTTTACGTTCTGATTGACCCGTTTTCTGTAAATTAGTTTGCAAATTATATTTTTCTTATAGAATGCACAGTAAAACAAGTGAAAACTTATAAGTTATCACTTGTTTTACCGTTTATTCTGTTCTCAGTGGGAAACGTTAGTGAACTTACCCCTCCCCTTCCTAGTAGAAAAAAAAGTCTCACTAATTTTTGTTTGATTTGTCATTAAACAAAAAAATTTTTTTTTTTTTTTGAAGGATTATCGTTATAAAAGACGTCTTTATACGTCTTTAAAAAGGTTCTCTCGTAGACAAGTCAGCTACAATGGGAGCTGGACGGACGTCCGACATGTGTCTCGGCAATCCATTGATTTCTACCAAAACTCCTCGTCCTTCACCTGAGACTCTTCCTCTATTCCATTCACTAGTTCATTTTGAATCAGGTGGCTTTACAAATACTTCTTGTCCTTGTGTGTAGTTTTGGAGAACTTCCTCGTTAGTTTTGGCAAAAATTGTGTGTGGTTTCCACTCATAAGAAAATATAGCTTTGTAGGGGAGCGATGTTTCCTCGCCATTTTTTCTGGGAGTCACGTTGTACCAATATACCATTTTTAACGGATCTTTGCCACTTCTTGTTGATTGTGCGATGGTGACGTTCAACAATTCCATTTCCAGATAGCCTATAAGCGCAACGAAACAGGATGGACACTCCCCATTCTGCGCATAATTCACCAACGAGTTTTGAGCGAAAGGTCTTTCTGTTGTCAAGAAGAACTTGCCACGGAGGTCCTCTTTCTCGAAATATTACTTCTAGATGGAAACACACTGTTGCTTCTTTCTAGTTTTGTAGCTTCCTCCAAATTGCAAACTTGCTCCTTTTGCCACAATCAATAATAGACAAATAAATCTCTGATTTATAGTGGGTAACGTCAATAGCTAAACGGTACCAGCTCTTTCCAACTTCAAGATTTCCTTCTTCCCATCTGCATGGAGCAGGATCTACCGATAAACATCTTTCGCAACTTTTTACGACTGATTCAATGTCTTTTCTACAAACTTTTTCCTTCGGAGATGTCTGTTTCATCAAATAAAGAGTTCGATTTACTCTAAAGTGATAAAGATTATGAAACGACTTCACATCAGGCGGTACGAGATTTGCTGTCATTGCAGAATGGTTTGAATGCAGCCAATTCTGTGGTACCCTCGTAAGAGGATCGGCTTTATTTTCTGCTGACTTAACCAGGAAAAGTTTTAATTGTATACCGCACTCCTTCACAAGGTCTTCAATTAACGACAACCGGCGACAGACAAGTGGTTCTCCAAGACCGTGTACTCGAATGGGTTTGTCACCGATTATTAAGGATTTCAACCAGCCAACAACAGTAGCCGAGTCACACTTTATGGTAATACATTCGAATCCTCATTTTGTTGCTAGATTGATTCCTTTTATCACAGCTTCTAACTCTGCGAGATTGATGTGAGCCGCATCATCTTGTTTTTTTAGCCACGAGCAGTCTTCTACTATTTCCCCAGCCACTTCCAGAACTATGCCTACAGCTAAACTGCTTGCATCGCACCACACTGTTGCTTCAGAAGTGTTTTTTGCGTTCCATGACCCATGAACGGGATCTTCCTTTGTAAGTCTGTCATTTAAACTGCTTACTAATTTGACAACACGATCGTTCATCAAAGTGTCCCATCCACAACTACTCGAAACTTTTTTTAGATAGCTGCACGAAGGGCGCAACCAATTTGCTATTGGAAAATGTCCAGTCAGCTGTCCGCACCAAGAAAAGATTTACCGACGTGTCATTTTTCCTTCAGAAACTTTGGGCATGTTGTCACGTTTCCAACGCACTTGATTGTTTTGTTTGTACACTTGCAATCCAAGCACACGCCCACCGACAAGTTTTTCTGTCAGCTTAGAATCCAAGCCATATTTTTTCAAGAGTTCTCGAACTCTACAACTTGACACTATGTTATTATTGACAATGATGTCATCAATAAATTAATCCGTCCCAGACTCGACAACTTTGTCTAAGGATAATACCTTTTTTAAGATTTTTGTCATTATTCTGGGCGCCACATTTAAATCAATCAATCATATATATTCTGAAAATTAATTTCATGGATATTTACAAATAGTAATTCTACTAATCTTAAGTAAACACCAAAAATACAGATCTTTATATATATAATCAGTAATAATTATAAGATAATAATAAAAATAATATTTATTGTAATAAACATATGAACCACAATAATAATAATAATAAAAAAAAACAATAACAATTATAATAGTAATTGTAATAACAATAATAATCGAAATTATAAGTCACATGTTATTCATAAACACAATAGCTAAATATATATATATATGAGTTAGTTACAAACAGTTGACTGAAAAAACGTAACAACTAACAAGGACATCAAACAGTTATTTAAATTAAAAATAATAAAATAGGAATAATAATAGTAAAGTTAAAAGTAATAATAATAGTGGTTACGATAAATATTTAAAATTACTAGTAATAATACTATAACAAAAAACATAACAAAAATATGATAAAAATTAAAAAAAAAATAAAGAAAAACAAAAAAGCATTAAAAAAATGAGAAAGTTCATTTTTGTTACATACATACACAAACATAAATATAAAGATGTAAACACATACTTACCCACATGCATAGATACACTCATATTTGCACATAAATATACACGCGCGCGTACATACACTCACATACATATGTATACATACACATATATATGTGTATGTATAGATATGTATGTGAGTGTATTTATATATATAGACACATATACATATATAGCTTTAAAATATATACTTTTTATTTACAACTTAAAATATACATTTAAAAAAAATGTCCAACCAACGTAAAACTAAAAAAAAAAAAAAAAAAAAAAAAAAAAAAAAAAAAAAAAAACGATGCAAACAACGCATTAAAACATACAATATACTATACACAAGAATACAAAAATAAAAAACAAAAAAAAAACAAAATTAAAATAAAAATAAAAAAAAATAAAAAAAAAATAAAAATAAAAATAAAAATAAAAATAAAAACCCAATCTTGTTAGACAGTATTGCTGCACTTCATATTCCACAACTTGATATTTCCATAATACTTCGTCCACGCGAATCTCCAAGTACGCTTTTTTTAAATCAATTATCTCAAGATTTTCTCCCAACTTTCTCCAGTTGCGAAGTTTGGTACTGCAAACATTGCCATCTGCAGTATGACTGGATGCAAATTGATTCAGCTCCCGTAGTCCATCACCGGACGTACTTTTAATTTTTTTCGTTAAATTACTGCCATCAACGGAATGATGCCATTACATTTCCCTTCAAACGTTGTCAGTCATCCTTGTGC